TCTAATAATTTTGTAAAAGATACTTAATGATTTATTTAATTTAATAGAATTTTTTGAAATATGGTTGATTAATAATTTAACATTGATTAATACAAAAAATTGCTATTACAAAAGTAGACTAATAAACTGGTATACGTTTTTAAAAATAAAAAATTTTAAATTTTAACAAAGTTTAAAAAATATTAATGGTTTATTAAGAATTTAAAGATTTAAATTTTAAAAAACAACTATTAAAAAATCACAATTCTTTATAATATATGATTTTAACATCACTGTTAATAAAGAAATTATTTTAAATTATAATTTTAAAAAGTTAAATTGATAGTGAAATAAGACTTTTAATTAAAAGTAGACTAATTTATATGATAAACCATTAATACTGATTAAAATTATTAAATTTGGTTTTTTTATATAAATTAATTAAATTATAATTTTATATTTTATAAACTAAAAATGTTATTAGATTTTAAAAAAATTAATTTTGTTATAACTAATAGAATTATTAATTATCATAACACTTTATGTTTTTTATATGATTAATTAAGGCTTGATAATTATATAAGTTATTAAATAATTTTAATCTCCTAATGTTATATAAAAGAAAAGTAAATTTTTAATTTAATTTAATTGATTTTTTTGTGTTTCATTACATGTTAATATTTTGAAAAAAACTTTCTTTCTAATTAATTGAAAGATTTGTAAATTTAACATTACATGCTAAAAATATTAAAATACTGTTTTTCTAATTACATTCATTTGAATAAATTATAACACACCACAAATCATTTTATTTAAATAATTGTGCATAATTTTTAATATTTTTATAAAAGAGCAAACAAACTTATTCTCGACTAAATTTTTGTTAGTTTAATTAATATTAAAAAATTAAATACTATTTCATTTTTTTATATAAAAATTTTTAAATAATATTAACTCTTAAAATATAATAACAAAATAAACTTTCATTCTTTACTTTATTTTCTATTAAGTTTCTTTTTACAATATTTTAAAAATCAAAATTTTTAATTTATTAAAAGTATAAAAAATTTATTTATTAAACACATAAAATTTTTTACAATTTATAGATTTGAAAGAATCTAAAATAATAATTGTTTATTTATTCAAAAATTTTTAACAAAGACTATCTTTAATCTATATTAAAATAAGCAAAGATTTATTTCTAACCTATTTTTAATTTTTAGTAAAACTGTTGCTTTAATGTTAAACTTAAATATAGGTTTTTTATTATAATTTAACGAGTTAAATGTAAAAAATAAATGTTTTTAATAAGACAGTCAGTTGAAAAATATAAAAGACAAATTAAAATTTAAAGAATTAATATAATCAGTATATCTTTTATTAATAAAAAAATTTTTAAACAGTAATTTTTATATTAATAAAAAGACTTAAACAAAAATATTTTATCTTATTGTTTAATACTAAATGATCTTTATTGATTTAAATGTTTCATTATATAAAAAAATTAATTTGTTCAATACGTTATTTTTTTAATATCATTTTATTTAAAATAAAAGTGATTTATTAAAATCTTTCTATCAAATCATGCATTTCCATATCCTCTACTTTTGTATTTTGTTGAGTAACAACATTACTTGCTAAATGCAATTTAAAATTTTGATAATTCATGACTTTACACTCTATTGTGTCTTTAGCAATTAATCGAAATACTTCAACCGTTAATTTTTGTCCTAATCTATGTACTCTGTCCATTGCTTGCAAATCATTAAATGGATTCCAATCATGTTCATAAAAAACTACAACATTTGCCGATGTTAGATTCAACCCTAATCCACCTACACTACATGTGCTTAATAAACACCTACAACTACCCTTATTAAATTCATCTACAATACCATATCTATCCTTTACCTCTCCATCTAAAGTTAAAAATGATATATTAGTCTTACTTTTGATTATTTCATCAACTACAAATTTTAAAGTAGATTTCAACTGGAAAAACACCAAAACTTTAGATGAATCAAATATATTTAAGATCTCAATTAAAGCGGTGGTTTTAGGACTTTGTAAATTTGAATCAAAATATTTAGTATGACTTGCAATTTTTAACAAAGATTTTGTTTGTGTAAGAGGATTACTGTGCAAAGCTTTGTATCCTTTATCTTTCACTTCAGAATCTTTATCACTCATCTTAAATTCTTGACTTATCAATACATTGTGATATGCTTCAGCCTGTGAAGGTAGTAGTTGTATATAAACATCTTTAATTATCTTTGGTGGTAAATCAGTAAGCACTTCAGACTTCAATCTTCTCATTACAAAGGGTAATATTTTTTTCTGTAAAAGTTTAATTCTATTTTCTAACAAATCAATAAAATTGACATTTTGATTTTTCATAAACGAATTAATATTCTTTTCATTAACTTTGATACCGTAAGTTTTATTGAAAGCCTCAATCGTTCCTAAGTAATTAGGCATAATAATATCAAATAAACTAAACATATCATCAACATTGTTATGTACAGGTGTTCCTGTAAGTATTATAGAGTGATCAAATTTGAGCATTTTTATCTTAGCATATAAACCAGTGTTTCTATTCCTCATAATATGACCTTCATCAAATATTACAATTGAATATTTAGTTTTTAATAAAACTTCATATTTTCTTAAATTATCATAAGTGCAAATAACAATAGAGTAATCTGACATACGACAATTTTTACTGAAAATAACAACATCTTCATAGTTAAAATGGGTGATTATTTCAGTAATCCAATGATTAGTTAAAATTGTAGGACAAATGATTAATGTTTGTGTTCTTATTTCTTTATTTTCAATTTTAGTAATTAAATAAGACAATATTTGAATTGTCTTTCCCAATCCCATGTCATCTGCAAGTATTCCATTTAAACCAAAATTAAATAAAAAGTTAATCCATTTAATACCATCAATCTGATAATCTCTTAATTTAACATTACATGACTTGGAAACTGGAAAGTTTGGAATAAAATTAGGATTAAACATCATTTCTGCATCGTATTTAGCCTTAATAATTTTGTTAGAAATCTCTGTGTCAAGTGATAAAATTTCTTGGTTTAACTTCAAAGACAATCCAGCTACAATTAAACTTAAATATTCTCTACCAAATTTTAAAAATGGTTTAAGAAACAAGATATAAAGTGAAGGATCTATTTTTTCAATCAACAAAGAAAAACATTCAGGTACCATGTTGTTTCTATCAATTAATTCCAAAGATCTTTTAACAAAAAGCATATTATATCTTTTAGAACAAACAATCATTTTCTTAACAATCGTTAAGTAAACATCATTTACTTCTACAAATAACATATCAAGACACTTATTAAACACTTCTTCAATTTCTCCAACATCTTTATAGATATGTATTGTATTGTAAAAGAACTTAAGTCCATTTTCATCAATAAGTAAATTTTTAAACCTTTCTGTTTTTAAAAATACATCGCCTAAAATCTCAAAGAATAATACAAGATTTTCACTAACATCCATGTCAAAGTGCTTAATAAGCATGTCTGTAGAACTAGCAATAATTTTACAAGTATTCACATCATGTAATTTAACAATAAATTCCTTCTTAATTTGAATAATAATTTTTAACAATTCACTTGAAGTCTCTATAAGGAAATATTTAGTAAAATCAAAATTATTTTCTAAATTTCTAGAGACACACAATCTAATATACTCTAAGGATTTTTCATTACAATTATGTGCAATACTTCGATAGAAAGGATTGTTAATAAGGTTAACAAGTTCCTTAACTGGTATTACGTTTAACTCAGAATACTTACTATAATCACTCTTAATGAAATCTTTATTGATAAATATTTTTGATGCCGTTAATATTCCTAGTTTATAATTTATCAAATTAGCAAATGTATCAAATAACACTGAGTTATTGGTAGAGTCAACTAAGCTAATTGAATAAAGTGGTATTGTAAAGAGTAACCTAGTTCTATAGTTAAGTATTGTTGAATAACCTATTGCTTTACACCCCTCCTCTGTAAAAAATTCATCTTCTTGACATACAAACTGATTTGAATCATATGATTTAAATACACTTGTAGCACAAATGTTAAAAAAATGTTTGAAAAATTCTTCATCTAATAAATTTCTATTTTGATCAAGAATTTCTAAAGCTAATTTGTTATCATAAAATAAAACAGCCTCTCCAACAAGATAAATAAGTTGATTACCGATAGGTGGATACTCTTTAAGTAGAATTTTAATAAAATTCAATCCAATATCTCTAATATACGATGATCCGGTTAAAGAAGTTGAAATACAATCAATTAGTCTGTCAATATTATTTTCATCATTAAAAAATTCTATTTTTAAAGTAGAATCTAATACGTTCATTAACAACAAAATTAAACTCGTTTGTCTTAGACTATCAAACTTACTAAATTGATCAATAGAAATTAGTTGTTCTAAACAGATGTTTACCAACTCATCGTTTTTAAGATACTTACATTTGTGTTTTGAGAGTATTTTAGCTGCTAATATTTTGACATCATCATCAGAATTATTTTTGATAAGCATAAAAATTCTATTTTCTATATCTTTGCTAATAAATTTCTCTGGATTTTTACTTTTTAAAATAGTTAACATTCCACTTACTTGTTCTTTCCAGTCATTTGATACAATGCAACTGTTTATAAATTCAACTTCAGTGTTACTTAACTCTAAATAATTAATCAATTCTGCTGCTTCTTCTCTAACAGGTGCTTTAGCAACTTCATCATTAAAATCAACAAACTTATCATGCTTAAGTATTATTAAAGCATGTTGTTTTATTTTATTAACATTTAAATGAACAACTTCATAAAACTTGTTAGTATCGCAGTTAATAATTTTTCTTAGTGCTAAAAATGACCCATGTCTCTTGAACCATTCTGGACTCAACATCATAGTTACAAGATTATCAAAAAAATCCTGTATTGTCTTTATTTCTTTATCGTTTATATCTGTAGTGTTTAATTCCTTATTTCTAGTAGAATCAGTACCTTCAACAGCCTTTAATATCTTACGAGTATCCACGTGTTCTAAATTAAATTCTTTTTGTATCTCTTTATCAATAATTGTTTTAACTTTTTTACTATTTTCAACTTTAAAGTCTTTTGATTTAAGATAAACAAAATTTTTTGTTAATTCATTATCATTTAAACTTTCTTTAGAAGATAACTCAATCTTAATATTCATATTTTCAAGTATTCTAGTTCCACACATACGATCAATGTCTTTTTCTGACATAATCAATTCATATATTTGCACCAAAATAAATAAATAATATCCCGAGTATTCTTCTAGCTGTTCAATAAGATTGGATGTATAATATCTCTTAAGTTCTTTATTGGTAGATAGTTGTATTGCTTTTATGAGTTTTTCAAGATTTACAATTGACATGGGTAACAGGGGTATTTTTTCTTAAATACTTTTAAATTTTCTAAATTTTAAATCAATTCGTCCTCTAAAATAGAAGAAAACAATTTTATTAGAAAGTTTGACTGTGTAAATTTTCTAATAAAAATTTTAAACCCTTTAAATTTAAAACTTTAAATAAAATGTTAGATAGAAAAATATGGGAAAGCATTGGGAATAAGAAGACATGCTCATTTAAATTAAATACAAAAGTAGAGACATTATGTAAAAATAAATATAACGTAACAGGATATTGTAATGAATTTAGTTGTCCGTTAGCAAATACTAAGTACGCAACAGTTAGAGTAGTTGAGGATAAACTGTATTTGATGATTAAAGAGCCTGAAAGAACACACACGCCTGTTGAAATGTACGAGAAAATTGAATTAAGTTATGACTATTTAGAAGCACTAAAACAGCTTGATGAAAATTTGGAGTTTTGGGACCCAGAAGTTATACACAAGTGTAAGCAAAGATTAACAAAAATGTTTGAGTATTTAGAGCGTAAGTTAAATCTAGAAGAAAATCCGTTACCACAACTAACTGTACGTAAAACCAAAATGAACAGAAGAGAGAAAATACGTGCACTTAAGGCTCTTAATACCTTGAATTTTGAAAAAGATATAAGTAGAGAACTGATGATCAGATTAGAAGAAGGAATATTTGGAGATGAGTTGTTAGAGGCTTATAAGGATGCTAAAGCTAAGGCAATTAAACACAAAGATAAAAGATACGTTGCAGATATTGATTTGGAAAAGGATGAATTACAACCTAAACATACCCGGAAGAAGAAAAAGAAAGAGAAACAACAGAATCTTAACTGGTAAGCTTAATAAATTAAACTGTTTTGAAATTTTTTATAAAAAATTTTCAGAAAAATAAAAAACTAATTTTTGGTTAAGTTTTAATTGAATTAAATGTTATTTTGATCAGTTATGCATCACTAAAGTTTGTTTGTAACATGAAACAATATTTTGAATTTTACATTTTAGTTTATTTTTCTTATTTAACCCATGGCAAAATTTAATGAAAATTATAAAAGCCAAAAAATGAAGAATAAGAACACTGTGTCATTTAAACCAGCGGTATACCAGTCTCCGTTGGGTTATAACTATACACAGCCTATTATATTCACAAGTTATACAGTACAGCAACAGGGGAAACGAAGAATAGAAGAAGATGAAACATTGATAAAAGATCAATTGAAGCCTATTAAGCGTAGCAGTATGATACGTTCTAAGGTATATACAGGCAAAAGAAAAGTTTCTTATAACTACAGTGAGACAGAAGAGAGTGAAACACAGTTTTATGACAACTATGATTCTTATGAAACTATTGAAGAAGATCCATATGAAAAATTACTAAAGAAAGACGGTGATAAATTTTATGTAAAGTTTAAAAATATGTCATACATTCATTGTGATTGGGTTGATGAAGCAGAAATAGTTAAGACAAGAAGTGGACTTTTGAAAGTAAAGAAATTTAAACCGATTGAAATAAAAGAGGACTGGACTACAGTTGATAGAGTACTTTGTGAGGGAGAGGAAGGAATTTATATAAAATGGAAAGGACAGGATATGCCTTATGAATTATCAACATTTGAAATAAAGGAAGATGTTCAATCATGTGTTGGATTTAAAGATGCATATAATAAATACTTAGAAAGGAAACAACAAAAACATAATAAGCATAATATTGATTGGAGACCAGCCAAAGAAAAGAAGTATAGTGAAACACCAGTTTATAAAAATGGAAACACTTTACGAATGTATCAATTAGAAGGACTTAACTGGTTATTAAGTTGTTGGCAACATAAACAGAGCTGTATTATGGCAGATGAAATGGGACTTGGTAAAACTGTTCAATCAGTTGTGTTTATTAATGAATTGTTTGAATCTTATCAGTATTGTTTGCCTGTTATAGTAGTAGCGCCACTTTCCACACTTGATCATTGGACAAGAGAATTTGAAAATTGGACAAATCTTAGAGTATTGAAATATCACGGTACTAAATTTGATAGAGAAATTATTTCCCAATATGAATTCTTCTATAAATCAGCTAATATTAAGATACTTAAATTTGATGTTTTAGTTACAAGTTATGAGATGGTAATGACAGGACTTGATCATCTATCACAGTTTGAATTTGGGGTTGGTATATTTGATGAGGCTCATAGATTAAAGAATCCTGACTGTAAAGCGGGTATAGCATTACGATCACTTAATTATGAACATAAGATATTGCTATCAGGAACTCCAATACAGAACAATTTGAACGAACTTTGGTCATTGCTTAACTTTGTTAACCCAGAAAGGTTTAATAGCTTATCGGAGTTTCTTAACACTTATAGAATGGAAAGTCCGGAGGATGTTGAACGACTTCAGAATATGATAAAATGCTTTATGTTAAGACGAATGAAGGATGATGTTGAAACTTCCATACCATCTAAGGAAGAAACAATAATTGAGGTTGAGCTGACAACTGTTCAAAAAAGATATTATAGAGCTATTTTAGAAAAGAATATTGAATTCTTAAGAAATAAAGATACTAAGACAACACCAAGTCTAATGAACATTATGATGGAAATTAGAAAATGCTGTATTCATCCATATTTAATCAATGGAGCAGAATCTTATATAATTCCAGAATATCTTCGTAGAAAAGGTGAAAGTAGAACAGAAACAATAAATGCAGAAGAATACTATCAGATATTTGTTGAATCATCAGGTAAATTAGTGCTTCTTGATAAACTTCTTTATAAGCTTAGAAATCAACACAAAGTATTAATTTTCTCTCAAATGACTAAATGTTTAGATTTATTAGAAGAATATCTTAAATTTAGAAATTATCCTTTTGAGAGAATTGACGGTGCTGTTAAGGGAAGTTTAAGACAAGAAGCAATTGATAGATTCAGTACTGGCAATAGTTTCGTTTTCTTGTTATGTACAAGAGCAGGTGGTGTTGGTATTAACTTAACAGCAGCTGATACATGTATAATTTTTGATTCAGACTGGAACCCTCAAAATGATTTACAGGCACAGGCTCGTTGTCACAGAATTGGTCAGAAGAACGCTGTTAAGATTTATAGAGTGGTAACTAAAAATACTTATGAACGAGAAATGTTTGATAAGGCAGGTTTGAAATTGGGATTAGATAGAGCTATTTTGCAAAAGATGTCATTTGATAATAAACCCGTACCAGCGTCTGAAAAGAATAAGGAAAAGTTAGATTCAATACAAATGCTGTTGAAGAAAGGTGCTTACGGTGCACTGATGGATAATGATGATGAGGCTGATAAATTCTGTGAAGAAAACATTGATAAAATATTAGAAAGAAGCACAGTTGTTCAAAAATCTGAGAGTGGTAATGTTTTTTCTAAGGCAACTTTCCAATTCAATGAGGAAATTGATGATCCATTTTTTTGGGATTTCATTGTTAATCAGAAGAAAGGCGATACTTCAGAAATGAAAATTAGAAGACATTGTAGGAAGTTGGCAAGAGAAGGCAGTTTAAGTGAAATTATGAAAGAAGATTTGATCAACATTGAACAAAAGCTTGGGGCATTCTTTTGATTGGCGCCCCATACAAAAAACTAACTAGCTAAAAATGATTGGCGCCCCAAAAACCGATTGGCGC